TGCTGTCAGGGTTACCTGCAAGGGGTGGGAGGTGTTGTCTAATGGGGATGACAGCTCAGTGGCATCGTCTTGTCACTGAATCCTTCCACTGGGTCAAGAGGACATGCCAGAACAGAGCTGGCCTTCTTGATCCGCCTGTTCAGTTTCTTCCCTTACCCAGTGGAGATACTGCTGCCCCAGCAGAGAACACCATAAAAGATTACTGATGAGTCTGGCTGGAGTCCAGTTGTTCCAGTTGTTGGAGTCCTGAGGCCCCAGTCTCCAAGCTGTCGCTGATGACTACCAAGGTAAAATTTACGGGGTCTGGCAGTACGTTATTTGCTCGGGGCAACCCAGTCACAACTTGGGCATGTACATGTGGTGACCCACAGTTGGGAGCATTTAAAACAGTTTTTTCATCCAAATCCCAAAAGGTTGATTCTGTTAATCTGGATGTAGCGTTTTCAGTGGAAGAAATGTTTCATCAAGTGACTTCCTCAGTATCAGCTGACTGCAGGTTCCCCCAACCTTATAAACATTACATTGCAATAGTAAAATGTACTGTTTATACAATTAAAGAAATTGTTACAACAGTAGGAGTGGGAAAATCTGCATTTTGGTACATGCTGAGAAAGAAAGAAAGCACTGGTGAATTCAGTAATGCAAAAAGACTTGGACGTCCACGGAACACAGTTGTGGTGGATGAAGCCATAAAACCTCTGACCCCTAAAAGCCATAAAAATGAACAACAGTTTCCGGGAGGTAAGCATATCTACCATAAAGAGAAGATTGCATTAAAGTAAATACAGAGGATTCACTGCAAAGGGGAAGACACTCATAAGCCTCAAGAATAGAAAGCCTAGATTGGACTTTGCTAGAAACATCTAATAAAGCCAGCACAGTACTGGAAAAACATTCTTTGTACAGATGAAACCAAGATCAACCTCAACCAGAATGATGGCAAGAAATATGTATGGAGAAGGTGTGGAACAGCTCACGATCCAAATCACATCATTTGTAAAACAGTGTGATGGTTTGAGCGTTTGGCACTGGGACACTAGTGTTTATTGATGATGTAACACAGGACAGAAGCAGCCGAATGACGTCTGAGGTGTTCAGAGACGTACTGTCTGCTCAAATCCAGCTACGTGCAGATGAACTGATGGGAGTCGTTTTAGAGCATTATGTCACCGGGTTGGTTGGTTGCGGCAAATAAACTTACATTAGTTAACGTCACTTTAAGGGGATTACATTTGTGCTGCCCCACTTGCTGCAACAATGAGTTTTATGTTAAGAAACTGAGGATATACTTCCACTTTCACGGTCTGTCTCTTTGGCAGTAATTGACTCCTCCTATTTGGCTAGCAGCACTGAAAATCCAGTTGTTAGCTGTAATGTCCGGCTTCGTAAAGCACTTTATAAATGAGGACAGTGTGGAGGAGAGCCTGTTTGAGTCACCAGACCGACAAGCTGCAGTCCGACACTCCAGCTTTGCCTCGTCAGGCCAGGTGTACTGTGTGCCCTTGCTGAAAACACTTTGAAATTTATTAATAAACTTCTGACGACAGATTCAGATTTGACTTCAAAACTGCTTGTCCTCACTTTAAAGCTTGTCCCTTCAGCAATTTCATCATAAATGCTATTTTTGAACAGTCTGAAGAAAATATCTGGCTCTGCTGGCGAAACACTAGAGAGCATTAGGTAAGAAAGCCACAACTTTTTTCTCCCAGCTTACTCCAGAATTCCTCTTTCTCTTCGGACATCCAACCTTTCGGCATGTGCACTGACAAGAACATAATAATAATGTTACCTTGTAATCTTGTAATAAATATTACAAATTAAACATTAGTCTTCTTAAGTCTTTGTACTGAGATGATCCCTTTTTCATTACTGTACATCTTTCACTTTAGATTCTGTCAAAACTGTGTTTTCTAAGACTGGAAGAGGCCATTTCTTCTTTTTTTGTGTTTGGCCATTGGGTAACTTGATCTTTCTCCAGCAGTGGTCAACCTCACACTTTCCACATATTCATAGTCTTGACACTATTACAGTCTTTTTAATAATTTTTAATGTACATCATTTGGATACTTTAAATCCTATCACTAACTATGCACTCTGAAAAGAAAAAGCTGTAAACTGGCTTATAAAAATCTATAGGTTTTCTGGTGTTGGCTGGCAGTAGTAATGGAATGG